AGATTATATGTAAATAGTAAATTCCACAAAAAGCCTTTACAGAAAGTAATTTTATTTTTAAAAGTTTCTGTTTACATGCACATTTCAAAGTAAATCTTTTTGTAAATATTTGTGTGCATTAATTTACTTATTTTAGAGGCAGAGAGACAGATAACAGACTGCCCATCCACTAGTTCACTAGAACCAAAGCTGCCAGCCAGGAGCGCATTCCAGGTCTCCCACATGGGTAGCGGGAACCCAGTTGTTTGAGCCATCACCTCTGCCTCCCAGGGTCCACATTATCAAGAAGCTGGAGTCAGGAGCCAGAGCTGGTTACTGAAACTAGATCCTCTGATGTGGGATGCGTGAGACTTAACCTGCATCTTAATCACGAGGCCAAAAACCCACCCTCCAAACAGATCTTGGTTAAGGCTCTCATTTCACCCCATAATCACAGGGATTTGGTTAAAATTACCCACCAGACAGAATTTCTCCAATTCAGCAAGCATGCACAGATCCCCGTGAATCACCAAGCACAGAGCATAGGAGCTCAGAGAGCGATCTGCACCTGTGCCTGGCTGCAGGGATCACAGGGCTGTGAGAGGCGCTCCGCAAGGTGGGCAGAATCAGCCGGGGTGCCTAGCAAAGCCGCTGCAGGCCATAGAGCTAAGTGCAAAGGCTCTGAAGATGCAAACATAGGGAAAGAACATTTTTCTCACCCGGGAGGTGGAGGAGTGGGTAGAAGTAGAGCTTTAGAACAAATGTGCTCTTGACCTGGAGCAGATGCTGTCAATTTTAACTTGTTATGCCAGAAGGATTGGACTCCCAGACGGATGGATGGATAGATAGTGTTATGCATGTGTACACACATATAAATGTATAAATATATATATATACACACAAATATAAGGGTACTTCTCAAAGTTCCTAGAAAATATATAAAATGCAAAAACTATACATGGATTTCAAATGTTTGCACCAAAATAAATTTGTTTTAATTCCAGTTTTCCATGAACTTTTGAAGTAACCTAAGATATCTTATTTGCGCACACAGTTCCTTTGTCTTTAAAAAAATCCTTTACTCTAAAAAGAAAGTTAAATGCTTTCCTGTATAGTTTTTCTCTCTTTTGTTTTGTTTTGTGTAACCAGCTTTTAGTTTACTCTGTTCTTGGCGCTGTATTAAACTCTTGCTAATAACCTTGCCTGTGATGTCGTTGGAATTATCACATAAAGGACCTGGAAGCCCAGACAAGTTAAGCAAATTGCCAGAGGTCACACAGCATGGAAGAATCAGAGCCAGGATTTAAATCCAGTTCTGTCTGACTCCAAACCCTGAGCTTCATTGCTGGTGCACTGCCTCATTTAATGGATAGGGTGCGAAAAAAGCCTACAGAGAGGTGTGGCTTCCCCGCAGACCATGTGTCCTCACTGGCAGTCACAGCCCACTCACCGAGTCAGTGTCCTGGAGTCAGGATCTTCCTGCTGTGGGAACGAGACCTTCAGGCTCCTTCCACGAAGATCTGCAGTGTGGCCACCGCATTCCTAGCAGCCACACTCGCCGTGACATTCTCAGAACCCATCTCGGTTTCCACAGTAGATTAGGGGGCTGATTTCTGCCTCTTTTTCATATCCTGTCATTAACCCAGCCACCCCTGAAACCCCAACAGACGTGAAGAGAAGCCTGTACTATTAAAGATGAATAATGCCTAGAAAGTCCTCTTTAAAATTGTTCTTAATGTGTTTCTGTACCTTGTTGCTACATTAGCATTGCTGGGCTTTCTCTCAGTCTCTAACAGACGCCCAAACTCTTTTTCCCATGGGGGCTCCTTTTTTTAAAAAACTATATCCTTTGCTTCCTAGGTTCTTTGGGTTAGATTCCCTTCCCCAAAAGGCATTCATTGGGAGAAGAGAAAAAGAAGCACTTTAGAGAAAATCAATTTCCAGCTTCCAGTTTACAGTAACCAGAGTTGTTTTTTTTTTTTTCTTTAAGACTTCTTTTATTTATTTGAAAGGCAGAGTTACAGGGAGGGAGGGAGGGAAGGAGGGAGAGGGGGAAACAACCATGTGCTGATTCACTCCACAAATGGCTGCGGTGGGTGGGCCTGGGACTGGGCCAAACCAGAGCCAGAAGTCAGGGATCCCATGTGGGTCTCCCACGCAGGTGACAAGGACACCAATACGTGGGTCCTCTTCCATTGCTTTCCTAGGCTGGTGAGCAGGGAGCTGGATCTGCAAGGGAGCAGCCAGGAATTGAACAGGTGCTCTGATATGGGATGCAGGCATCACAAGCAGCAGCTTAACCCACTGTACCACGATGCCAGCCCCAGCCAGAGCTTCTGATCCACCTGTCACGACGGATGTCTCCTCCTGGACATACCGTTATTTCAGTAAAGTCCTCTATTTAAGCTTTGGGCCTTAAAAATAGCCAGAATCCAGGGCCAGCATTATGGCATAGTGGGTAAAGCCACCGTCTGCAGTGCCAGCATCCCATATGGACCCAGTTTGAGACACAGCTGCTCTACTTCTGATCCAGCTCCCTGCTAATGTGCCTGTCAAAACAGCAAAAGTTAGCCCACGTGCGTGGGTCTCTGCAACCATTTGGAGACCCAGAAGAAGCTACTGGCTTCAGTCTGGCCCAGCCCTTGGCCATTGTGGCCATGTAGGGAGTGAATCAGCAGATGGAAGATCTCATTCTCTTTGTCTCTCCCTCTCTGTCTATAACTCTGCCTTTCAAATATAGAAAAATAAATCTTAAAAAAGAAAACAATAAAAAGAATCTATTTTGTGTCAAATTTTTTAAGAGCTTTACATGGATTAACTGATGAATCCTTGTAACAACTCTATGAAATAAATGGCAATTGTGTCCCCACTTTACAGATGAGGACTGAGGCACAGAGACTTCATACACTTTGCAAGTATCAAGGCTAAGGTTTGAACAAGACAGTCTCAGGCCAGGGTGTGGGCTCCTAAACATGTACCATATAGTCAGTGTCTACTGGAAATGGACAGAATGTTTGACAAACAAACCATTGAGGCCCAGTCTGGAGACATGGGCCACTCAGGACTTCCAGTTGTTTGTTTTCTTCTCCAAGAGGTTATGTAATGGAGGCCTCCACACTGCCCTTAAGGAGCCCATTCCCTAGTTTTATTATCCTGGAGGCCCAGGGGTTCTTCTTAAGATCTAAGCTGTTGTTTCTCCTGCTTCATTTTAATCCCCTGTTGACTCTTTATTTGATGCACTATTGAGCTGGATAAAAATGAATCATCCGCCGGTGCTGCAGCCCACTAGGCTAATCCTCCACCTTGCGGCGCCGGCACACCGGGTTCTAGTCCCAGTCGGGCGCCGGATTCTGTCCCGGTTGCCCCTCTTCCAGGCCAGCTCTCTGCTGTGGCCAGGGAGTGCAGTGGAGGATGGCCCAAGTGCTTGGGCCCTGCACCCCATGGGAGACCAGAATAAGTACCTGGCTCCTGCCATCGGATCGGCGCGGTGCGGCCGCAGTGTGCTGGCCGCGGCAGCCATTGGAGGGTGAACCCACGGCAAAAGGAAGACCTTTCTCTCTGTCTCTCTCTCTCACTGTCCACTCTGCCTGTCAAAAAAAAAAAAAAATCATCCACTCACATGTTACAGAAGAAAGGGGGAAGAGAGCTTGAGACCCTCAAGTCATTCTCAGCTTGCTTCTGCCACGTAGACACGAATGATGTTCAGTGATGCAAAAATTCCCCTTCGCCATTTTGCAGACAAGTACCTGAGGTCAAGGCCACATGTGAGTCTTGTTCTAACTAAGTAGCTGGGTAACACTGGAGGTGGACAGCTTTGCTCACTGTTCATGCCAGTCTTCAACAATTTTATCATTTCTCCCAGTCATTCAAGCCCTTTTCACTGTCTGTTGGCCAGATTTGGATAAATATTTTCAAGAGTTGGTCCACTACAGAATGTGGAGGAGACCTTGGTTTTAATCTAGAGGGCCTGCAGTGTGATTTAGTGGCCCCCAGAAGGGAAAAACCCTCAGGACAAAAATGACTGGTTTTCTTCTTGCATTTCGTCTGAGTGGGTCTAGGAGTTCGTGAAGAAGTGGGAGGATGGTCAGAGGCAACCACAGTTCAGAATCCAAGTGAAGGAATCACAAATGTCTTTTGCCAACAAGGTTCCAATTAGTTTTTTGCCATTTTAGAGATCAGAGAAATAAAGCTCTGTGAGCTGATGGATCTGCTTTTCTTGGTCAACTACTCATAACTCCCAGCCTTTCCTTAATCCTATAGTTGCAAAGAATCCCCCTGGAAGTGTAGGAGGAGCCAATTGGCACCATTTTTATTAAGAAAATCTCCTTAAAAATATGTGTGTGTAGAACTCCCCCTGTTAACGTTCTGAAGAATGCTGAGTGTGAATAACCAATACTTTCATTGTGAGCGACTTCAAATAATGCAGCAGAAATGTGTTCATGTTGCTGAAAGAAAGGTGTCGTTCCCCATAATTTTAGGCCCCTCCTTCAAACTCAGTGAAAGAGACAGCCCCAATACTAGGTCAACCTCAGATCAACTCTGCATTTTCTGCTGAGTTTTTTGTTTGTTTTGGGCTGATTTTTGTTCAGAATGTCAGTGTGTATTAGACTTGTTTCTGTCTGGAAAGGATAATGAAAGGCTGCAAGAATTAAATCTGGTCCCCAATTAACATCACCCTCCCTTTCCCTGCTGGTAATTTTTATATCGCCGTCACATTCAGGGTGGTTGGAAGTTTCCCATGTACTTATCAGACTCCAACTCTTCTTATTTGATCAGTAAAGAGTAATTGTCGAATTTTCAGAGGCATTTGTGCCAAGACTTCAGATGCCCTGGGGTATGAGTTTATAATTTTGCTACTTAAATGTTTTCTAAATGTTTTAGCTGTGACTTGAAAAGAAATGTTCCATGAGTTTCCTCTTAATATTAAAGAAACAAAAATCTTGGCATTTAATTGAGCAGACATATAGAGCTAGCTATTGTGTACAGATGGCCTTGACTTGGTGTTCATTCCTGTTTTCCAGTGCCCTGGTCATTGAAAAACAGCAGCATAGACAGTGGCGAAGCAGAAGTTGGTCGTCGAGTGACTCAAGAGGTCCCACCAGGGGTGTTTTGGAGATCACAGATTCACATCAGCCAGCCTCAGTTCTTAAAGTTCAACATCTCCCTCGGGAAGGATGCTCTCTTTGGTGTCTACATAAGAAGGGGACTGCCACCATCTCATGCCCAGGTATGGCCATGCTTGATATAGCAAAATGTTAAATACATACATATGCACAAGGTCCCACCCACTAGGATGCCTGTACTTAAAAGGTGGACCACAACAAGTGTTGGCAAGAGTGTGGAGAAATTGGAACCCTTCTGTGGCGTTGGTGGGAATGCAAAATGGTGCAGCCTCTATGGAAGTCAGACAGTTCTTCAAAAAGTTAAACGTAGAATTGCTACATGACACAGCAGTTAGCTCACTTCTAGGTCTGTAGCCAAAGAGAATTAAAAACATTATCTTCTCATAAAAATGGGTGCAGTGGTATTCATTATAGCATTACTCATAATAGCCAAAAAGCAAAAGCAACCCACAAATCCAGCTAATGAATGGATAAACAAAATGTTACTCATCCATGCAGAGGTGTATGATTAAGACATGGACTGGAGTGAAGTGTTGCTCCCTGCTGCAATATGAGTGAACCTTAAAACACTGTGCAGGTGAAAGAAGCCACATACAAAGGGCCACGTACTTTGTGCTTCAGCTTATATGCACTGCCCAGAATGGGGAAGTCCATAGAAAAAGAAAAGCAGAGTGTCGTGATTGCCAGGAGCTAGCAGTCGGGGTTTCTTTGGGGTGGCAGGTGATAAAAAGGCTCTGAAATTACATGGCTGTGATGGTTTGCACACCATAGTGACTACACAAAACCTACTGGATTGTAAAATAATGAAATTTATATATGTAATGAAATTAATACCCCTGCCTGAGTAAGCTGCCTTTGCTAGGCCTGGTGGTTAATCCTTTGGCACTGTGATGTTGTGGTTATTGGGTTAGTTTGTTAAAATCCCATTCCGAGGCATCCATTGTATATGACAAGAGTGATGTGACATCAACCAAAGAGTTCAGCGTGTGTCTCTTGGTGTCTTCCCTGTGCTAAATTCCTTGAGATTTCCCTGGCACTGTGACAGTGAGGTTACTCCCAGAATTGAGATTCATGAGATTGGGTTATATTAAGGGTTTCATTATTTTTTTTCTCATTTCTCCTTTAATTTGTCCTGATTGATGGTTTGTTAGCCATAGCACTTGAGGTAAACTTAGACCCATGTTGAATTTCTTTTGCAATAAAAGTTGTACTTATATGTTAAGAAAAAACAAAAATCTCATTTGCCTGCAAATCCAGCAAGAACATAAGTGCATTAGGAAAAAAGAGAAAGAAAAAAGAACAGTGATGGAAAAAACGCCCCTCTATCCAGTCAAAACTGATTTTGAAATGTGTGAGGAAGGTATTCATCTGGAAAATTCAATTGGAAGAATTTAAAGCTTTAAAACCATTTGTAAATATGAGGTAGTCAGGCCACCATTTCCTTGTCTTTAGCTCACAGCAGACATTGCTAATCGATGACAGCACTTTTCCTCGCTGAGCCCAGTGAACTAATACCTCCCATAGAACTCTCAAGGCAGCCACTACCAATCGACCAGTGTTGGCTCTCAAGACAAAACTTATTTGCAATCCCATCTTTACAGCCCAGAATGATCGATACGAGGACTACAAGTACTATTTCTTTTTTGGCCATGGAGGGCTGTGTACATTTTTATTACCATACACAGCCCATGCTGTAGGGACCAATATGTAAAGTGGTAATCAATGAGTCCTCCATTCATCCATCCAGAACAATATTTATTGGGCTAGACACTGATCATCCAGAGCTGAGTTAATACAGCCCCTGACCAAGCAGAACTCCTGATACAGAAATCACATCTGCTCTGCAACAAGATTCCCATCCAGAGAAAGAGGAATTCAGCTGAAAGAAGTCCTAAGGCATTGCTGTAACTTCTGGCCAGACAGCAGGGTGCTGTTCTGGGAAGTTGCACAAATTGTTTGGTGGTCTCCTTGACCTTCAGGCTCCACCGAGTCCACTGTAGCGTAATGAAGGATTTACAGTGGAGAAATCTGCTTGTTGGCATTATTCGGGTGAGTACGAACATGCCTCTGGGCACAGCTGAGAATAACTTTCCTCACAGCCAGTTCAATGCAGAGAGCTTTTCTGGGAAAAATATTTCTTTCCCATGTTGTCCCAGAGTACTATTCACCCCTTTCCTTTCCTGCTCTGGGCAGCTGGAGTCATGGGCAAGCCAATGGTGATGGCAAGTCAAGTCGGCAACTCTCTGGAACTGAGCAGTAGTGGACAGGAGGCAGAAACGTACTCTATCCAGTTTCTCTGCTGCTCTGACATTCAAGACTCACATGCTCAATGACAATGTCCTTTCTTCTTTTGTGCCTACGCCACACTGTCCATCTTGTGCCAAGCCAGTGATTGTTCTAGTGATCGTCTTCCCAGAATAGTTCCTCTCCAGGGACAGCCCCATCACATACTTCAAGGGAAGGGAAATGAATTGGCATGGGCTGATACGTACTGGGCTTTCACACCGGCTGCCAGTTTGGGAATTCAGTGTGTGTCGGGCTGGGTGGGGGGTGGGGGTGAGGGGTCAGGTGAGCAAGGCAGTATAGGTGCCTAGAAATGCACAAGTATAGCATAGGGAAAGAAAGAAAAATACTCCCTACACATCCGCACATCCATTCCCTGTCATTCCATGCATTCATGTCCATTTGACAAGCTACATTTCCTCAAGGAGCCGGTGCTTAACTCTTTGCAGGGATAGGTGACTAACGCATATCTCAAACCATTATAGAATTTCTCATTTCTATTGGCATAGCCTATCAAGGAACTTAAGTTCTATGGGGATTGGCAGTCTAGCCAAGGTGACTCATTTGAGCTAGAGAAAGAGAAAGTGGTGAGGAGGGGGAAGAATATGCAATTCTATTGGCTGTGTTGCATGAAATAGCTCTGTTTAAATTTTATTGAGTATCATGCTCTGACCAAGAGCCTACAAGGTTTAGTATCCTTGTTCAAGGATATTAAATACAGAGGCGAATCCTTTCTTACTATTTAAATTTCCAAAGAATCAGAATCTGTCCCAGCTGACTTTTTGAAACTGGCTTTTTATGGGGATACAAAAACAGCATGGCATCAGAGAGAAAGTGCTGGAACTGGAGTGAGCATGCCCCGCCTCACGTTGACCGGGTGACCTTGGGTGTGTTCCTTCACCTCTCTTGGCTTCTCCTTCTTTTCTACCTGTATTCTCCCCCTCACAGTGTTGCTGTCATGATGTAACAGCTACAGAGTAAGATAGGAGACATGTCTGCAGACAAAAGCACAATGAAAAGATAATGTATGGCAAATGTTTTATTGTACAGATCACATGTCCCTTGTCCAGAATGCTTGGCATTACAAGTGTTTCACATTTCATAAATCTGAAATTCAGCTTTCAGTCTATCTTGGATTTCAGATTTTTGAATTAAGGATGTTCAACTTGTATTTGGAAATTCTGTGTGGCCCTCACAAATGCTGTATATAGATAGAAAATTATGCAAATATAGATTTTTAGTATAAATTACTTTCCCAGTTTTTTCTTCTTATTAAAGAATAAACTATATTTTCATTGCAGAAACCAAAGAAAGAAAATAAATCCCAATTTGAAGCAGTCTTCTTTTGTAACAAAACCTAGCTTGAGTAAAGACAGAAAGAAAATCTCAGAATATTAGTGGCTTTAAATAGCAAAGGCTATTCCTTTCTGAATCTTTTAAAATTGTGTTTTGTTATGAAAGATTTAAAAAATCAACTATGTTTTGTTTGCGAGAAAGAGGTGGAGAGAACTAGAGAGAAAAAAACAGACAAAGTGAGCTCTCATCACTGTTTACTCCCCCAAATGCTTGTCACAGCCTGGGCTGGCGTGGGGCAAAGCCAGGATCCAGGTACTCAATCTAGGTCTGCCACATGGGTAGCAGGAAGTCAATTACTTGAGCCACCACTGCTGCCTCCCCCTACCAGGAAGTACGTTGGCAGGAATACAGGCTATTTCTTTGTATTCTCTTTTTTTTTATTTTTTATTTATTTATTTTTTTGACAGGCAGAGTGGACAGTGAGAGAGAGAGAGACAGAGAGAAAGGTCTTCCTTTGCCGTTGGTTCACCCTCCAATGGCCACCGCAGCCGGCGCACTGTGGCCGGCGCACCGCGCTGATCCAAAGGCAGGAGCCAGGTACTTATTCTGGTCTCCCATGGGGTGCAGGGCCCAAGCACTTGGGCCATCCTCCACTGCACTCCCTGGCCACAGCAGAGAGCTGGCCTGGAAGAGGGGCAACCGGGACAGAATCCAGCGCCCCAACTGGGACTAGAACCCGGTGTGCCAGCGCCACAAGGCGGAGGATTAGCCTAGTGAGCCGTGGCACTGGCCCTGTATTCTCTTTCAGTGGCTCTCAACCAGGGGCAATTTTGCCCCATCTCCCCGTAGCCTCCTACCTGGAAACATAGTGCAGTGTCAGGAAATATTTTCGTTGTCACACATGGGAAGCAGCTGTCATGAGTTTCTGGGGGGTGGAGACCAGGAATGCTGTTGAACACCTGGCAATGCGCAGGGCCTCTGCTGCAAAGGATAAGCCAGCCTCAAATGTCTACAGGGCTGAGCTGGGTGTTGTGGGGCACACAGATTAAAAACACAGTGAGACTTTTGAGGTCAAATTAGGAGTCTTTATTAGCCAGCTGGCGACTGCCCTCTCACAGAGCAAGTCCTGAGAAGACAGCCCTGAGTTGCAGTGGCAGTGGGGGGGGAGGGGTTAAAAAGGGAAAACCTACTTTTTATCAGACATTTGATTATACGTATGGGCTTGTGCAAGCAGAAGCGAGAAACAGTTATCAGCTAGGTTTTTTGTAACCTTATTGAAAAATGTAATGATTCAAGTATTCAATTGTTCCTGGTCGGGGTCAAGCATGGCATCACTGACCTTGGTGCCACCTGTGTTATTTGTGGCTGCAGCCGGGAGTAGACAGGAGAAGCCATAGTCTGGTGGCCTTGGCCATTATCAAGCAAGCAGAGGTACAGAGGCCAGAAATGGGCTAGTTACAAACTAACATTTATTTTTATGAAGAACAGGCCTGGTTTTAAAACAACCAAGCAAAATAACCTATTG